CATCTAATATCTCAAGAAGTGGCATTCTAAAAGCTGCTTGAAAATCTGGTAACACTGTGCGCGCGGTCATCTTGGAAACGTCAAATGTTTTGAGTATCGGTTTCTCGGCATTTCGCGTTCCGTGACGCTCTAACGGGTCCTTCACACTAAAGCTACCGGATCCTGAGAAAATATCCCGAAGCTCCCCATATGGGGACTTCGGGCCACTTTCCCAGCACCCATTCTCGCCTCGAATGGGTCTGGGTAAAGCCGTGCGCGGCAGCTGTGATGCTCCGTTATCTCGGACGCGGTTTATCGTTTGCTCGGGCACGGGTGCGACAAAAGCTTCCTCATGAAATGCGTCAACGTTTCAGATTCCGATTTTGACCTGCTCGTAGAAAAAAAGGTGTTAGCACATTCAGGTGTGCTCTGTGGGCAAAACGCCGGAATGCCGGCGGTCCACGGGAAAAAGTGCTATCACAGGGGTGCGGTGTTCGCGAGACGCTGCTGGTGCTCTGCCGCAAAATCGACGGACTTTCTGAGGAAGTACGGTTCCTTAGACGTGACAACGAATATCTGCGAGTTCAACTGGCACGAAAGAGTGAGCTTGTTGAAAAATGCCCTTCTGCTGACGCCCCTGGCCCTGCACGACAGACCGAGAATATACCTACCTACTCCGAAGCGCTGCAGCACGGTGCAACCGACCTGCCAGTGAGCAGGGACTGGCCTACCATTACTGAATCCTCCTTGTGTCCGTCCAGCAAGACGTTTCGCCAGCCTGCGTCAACTACACGAGCAGCTGAAGCTCCAACGAGCCTCTGCTGCGTCACGCGATGACAGCGCAGCAGAGGTTGGTTGCACTATTTCTCCACGGGGCGCGGTGTCGTCGGGGCCGAGATGAGCTCCGATAGCAAACCGAAACTTAAAAACCCGTCGAATTAAAAAAAAATGTGTGGTTTTTCAGAAAGCCGTAAAATGCTGCGCGGGTCTGCTATCGTTCTGCAATTTGTTGGTTTATTGTTTTTTGAGGATGCTGAGCATTTTTTTTTTGTAATTGAAACCATGCACTGAAACAGAATATTTAAAAAGTTAATTACGCAAAAAATACTTAACAATCGAATTATTCCGGACTTTAATAATTTTCCTAAATAGGCCCCCGGCCCAGGACCAAAACGACACAAGCCTTTTTTTGTTACGACGCGAAATTTTCGCAATATCGATTTTGTCCACCTTTTGTGAAACACCCTGTATATTTATAATTTATGTGGTTCCATCTCTCAATACGTTCTGTTCGAACCATAGAGTTATTATAATGTACGTTAGAGGTTCAACTGGCGCTAGTGTCTATGCGACTTCCGTGACGCAAATTGAAGCAGACAGCAACCGGTCTACATTTGCGGTGCTCCTGTGCATTCCTATGGGAAAACGCGCGTGCATTTTGTCTCTTCGCCGGAAAACAACACTAAACACTTTGGTTATTTGGGTTGTACCGAATAGTATGTACCTTGATTAGCATTCTAAAAGTGTAATTGCTTTAGTTAGCGCACTTTTCTTCATCGGTGAGCGATGTTTAACTTCGCTACATTTCAGTCCCAAACATGTGTTCCGCAGCAGGTGTGTAAAAACAAGCGACGATTCAAAGCAAAATTACAATCGAAACGAATATAAAGTGTGTTCAAAGCTCGCCAGCATTCCGATGACGCTTGTATATTGATAATATGTCAGTCCTGTCACCATACGAAAATGGTCCCGTCCTGCATGAGCGGATAAAAACCTTCAAAACGTAGAGAATAAAGTCCGTGGGATATGAAAGGTGTCTCTTCGTATTGTTTTCTCTGCCGGGCAGCTTTTATCGCGCACTTGTTCTCAAAGATGTCTAGCGCGGGTGATGTTTTGAACGTAGAACACGCAGCTTCGCTCAGGACAGAAAGAATAAAGCGGTACTCACTTATTTAAAATCGAAATAGATTACGTGGCCTTCAATTTATTTTGATCGTTCATGCACTGCGAGTTACTGATCCGGTGTTGCTGCGTAGTTCTTGCCGCCGCTCTTGATTTTCCAGATGTCCTTCGTTCGTTTGGCATGTATGTCCCCCATGCTGGAAATCGCCGACGTCGCGTTCGCGCTAACAGTGTCCGACAGTGCACATAAATACACGTACGAAGCCGTTTTAGCACCGCTTTTAGTGCGATGAATTCGAGAGAAAAACGCCGTAACTGACCACTTCTTTCGTCGGCCTGACTGAGAAATGTTCCAAACTACCTAGTACATACGAATTATTTGGGATATTTGCTCTTATGATCGGGCGCAGGGAGAAAATGCACTCACTTTTTTTCATAGAAATGCATTACCGGAAGTCAATTTTCGACTGGTTGCTGTCTGCTTCAATTTGCGTCAGCACACTAGCGCCACTTGAACCTCTAGCGTACATTATAATAACTCTATGGTTCGAACAGACCCTTGTTCGGCGGGGAACTATTTTCGGCTTTGTTTAAAAATGACGAAAGGTGCTTGTGTATTCAACTAAACAAAGAACTTAAGAAAAACTTTTCATGTCTACAGCGAACTGACTAGTAGGAGAGCTTGCCTTTTACTTTCTTTTGGACCAACCGCCCCCCCCCCCCCTTCCCCTCGATGTCCCGGTTTCTACCGACTGATCATGTGCAGTGTTCGTCTTACGAATTTGAGACTTTGGTTTGCATTTATGGTTATGTGATCGTTCTTGGACCTCATTGTTTTCTTTATTTATTTTCTTTTGGTTCCGCATTCCAGATTCTATTTGTGAAGGGTAAGTGGGTCCAGACATCTTGCCGTATAAATAACAGGTGCCCAGAAGTAAATTCTTTTAATAGAAAAGAGTGAGTGCGTGGGAATACAACCGTAATGCTCTAAGCGAGCAAGATGAGAGACACGAAGGAGAAAATTAAATTATTAAAAATAAGAGTGATCGGACGGTACCCTGTTCGGTCCTATGTGCCGCCCCATTTTGTGTATCTTGAAACTTTGCCGAACCAGATCAATCGCGGAAACGTGCGCCGTAGGTATAATCTGTCTCGTACATCTATCACGCTTTTATAGCCCATTTCGCAAACGGTCTACAAAAGTTTATCTCGAGTGATATTGTTAGAAGTATTTTAGATGCCCTGTTATTTTATGTTTCTATTACCTAAGACGATATATATATATATACCTCCTCCACGAGTGTTAACTTCAGCGCACTACTGCGCTTCACACGCGCTCGAAGTCTTTCTAAAAATTACTGATTTAGGAGTTTTGGACGACGCTCAGCAAGTTTCTAATTTTAACCATATGTCTATTTTCACTCATCACGAAAGTTAATGAGTAAATATTAATTCATTAGACTACTTATCGCAAAGATTAGCCACCCACATAATGTCTAACTCACTCGCACAAACCGCATAAGTGTAGCTTTAACGGCTTTTTTAAATACAAATCTGCAAGAATAAAAAAGAAACACGCGGTATATATCATGTAATTATATAAAAGCGAATTTTAACATATAAGCAATTTAATGTGCGAAAAAAAAAACCTTACCAAGAAAATGTTGCGAATCTGTCAAGTAAAAGCTTAACAGCTATGATCAATATAGTGCTTCGGTAATTCTAATATTAAGATCGAATCAACAAACGGAATTGAATAAAATATATGATTCAGCACTTGTTTGCGCAGTCGTTTTGGGTTCCTTTTAATATTGGAAAATATCGCGCCAAGGAACACCGAAAAATAATAAATGACAGCACTAGTGTTAATGTTTCTTTTCCACACAGGCCAAGGGCACGCACATTTTCCCACGGGAACGGACGATAAACCCATTGAAGGTAAGTTTCATTTCTTGGAAATAAAGACACCAAATATTTGTTAACGTAAAAAAAAAAAAAAAAGCTCAGTCTAGGGAGCCTTCATGTGCGCTTTGCTAGGGTGATGCCACCCTTTGTAATACCACTCGCCGACAAACCAGCAGCCATTTTGGTTCTCGGCGATAATCCGTGGGGCTTATAACCCTCCCGGAAACAAGCACCTTATCTCACAAGTTCGGAGCAGCGCTGTGGAACCCACGGAGAGAGGATTAGCATTTTCCCCCTTGGATGGGTGGACCGATGGACACAAAGGCCACTTTCCGGCGCACGGGGAAACAATGAGGGGAACAAAATGGCGGTGGGAGAGGGTGTGGGAAAGGGAAACAGGCAGTTGGCATCACTCTATGCGAAGCGCACATGAAGGCACCCTAGCTCAGTCAGGTATTAGAGAAGTTTGAATTTTAGATGAAACGATTTCAACTTTGATTCTTTAATATAAGTGTATACATTTTAGCCGGTAATGCGGCTCCAGGCTTCCAAAAGTCTTTCGTGGACATACGCCTCAATTATAATCCATTGAAAGTCTATAACACTCGTCGAAAGGCCAGAGCTAATTCGAAGTTTCTCCGTTGTTTGCTTTCAAACGCAAAGAGAAATACTAATGTTCTTTTTCAAGTGAACACTGATGCAAAGAATGCTACGTTCTGAAGCAGACACGAAAACTCCTCCTACCTAGTGTGGGCGTTGCGAGTCTCAGTCACCATGTTATCGCTCCGATGTCAATAAGATAGCCACTAAGATCACCGAAGTACCAAGCGCATAACGCGATCGTAATAGGTCAATGCCTAATGAAGCTGCCAGAGACTATGCAACGTCTGAAAGTAGTCGGAGGGCGCAGGTGAGCTGGTGAGTACTAGGCAACGTAATAAACCGGAGAAAAATAAACCAAAAAGGACGCGCACACCGGGACGGTGTTGTGAACGTCCTTTTTGTTCCCGTCCTTCCGGTTCCGAAACACGGGACACTGGTTGTTTCGTTTCGTGTATTTTTACGTCGTGCATTTAATTTTATTTACTATCGTTTCAACAAAACTCTTATTGCAGGAAAAAACCTACAATTCAATCTACAGGATGTGGTGCTGGATTTCTTGTATCGTGTTGCGAAGGAAGAAGGCGCCAACCTATGGGATCTGGATATCTTTGGAAAAAACCCGCACCGCCCGAAAAAGAATAACCAGTACTGCTCCCATTACTTCATTGCTCGTCTATTCAGTGAGAGTTTAAGAAACGCAAAGCGTGGCTTATGACGTTCACGCCTGTTGCATCGTCATTCGTCCATTGACATTTTTATTGGCCGATGTTGCAGTCTCATTCGCTGCGGAGTGACAATGAGATGCCAGGAGTTGCCACGTCCTGCGTTCCTTGAGCTCTCAAGGACTATACGGGCAGAAAGTGAGGGAGAGGAGGAGACCACAGTGGAGGTCAGAATGCCGAGCTCTGAATGGAAGGATTAGTGGGTAGACCGAAAGCTGTCCTTTGCCTCCACGGCACTCGTGGAACGCGTCAGAACGCGGAACGCGGGCGTTCGGCAATTGGTGTTCGCATTCGAACGCGTTTCAATCAGGGTTCGTCGTTCCGACGTCCCCGCGTGCTCTCTTCACCTCTTTCTCAGGTTCTGCTCGCATACAGGGTGTTAACAGTAAACAAAAACAAACATGGGCGAACTTCCGGGGGGGGGGGGGGGGGGCATTATATGTTGCTTCCGGTTGGCTATTGTTTGTGCTTGTTTTTGAGGACGTTCAGTGAGTATCGCATAATTTAAAAGTCTCACCGCTGAGGATCAACCACGGCACCTCCAGAAATGTACTTATGCTAGATCGACACGCCTTCCTTATCCTTCGGATGAGAACCTTGATGAATTGTTTCTCAAATAAGGGACAAATCTGCCAAAGGGTATCGTGGGCGCATCTTAACGACTATCTACTCGAGCCGCCTGGCCCATATACCGGAGAACGAATTAAAACGTACAAGTCCTGAAATATGTTAAGCCACTTCGTGAACAGAAAGGCATCGGCGATTGGCACCTACCGCCCCCAGGCGCCGAAGGTACGCGTCGAGTTTTACCGTAGGGGTCGCCGAGTCGGATCAGCGCTGACAATCTCCCGGAAGATTTTTTAAAATTTTTTAATGATTTCTTTAGCGCGACGCGAATCTACAAATTACTATTTTTTTATGATTTGACTCGCTTGCTTTGGTATTCAACGTTTCTTTCCCAAAGCTCGGTTGCATTTGGTGTTTCTACGTGCCGTAATGGCCCGGTTGGCATCCATCGTTGTACGGGGATGATCGGTCAAGTCGCCGCCGGTCGCCGCAGCCTGGAAAGCCTAGATTGAAAAGAGGGTTCATCTCTAACCATGGGGAACGTTTGCTACTTAACGACGGACGCCTCCTTTGCCGATCGGTAGCAATGGACCTTTTCCGAGAAGCGTTCTGCGCACGCGCGAGCGCCCGATGCCAAGCGGTGGAAGTCGGCACGAAAAAATCGAGGAAATTCGGAATGAGGCTGTAAATCGACGAGTAGAACACGTAATTGCAGCATATATATAATTGTGTTACACAAAAAAAGAAAGTGGACGGAAAGAAAAACACGACGTTTGGGTGGACGCTACGGATTTCCTTCCTTAAAGTCGCGCTAGGCCTACCTCGTTGCGTTGGGCACGCGACGCTGCTCAGAGAGCGAAGCAACTGGTAACGTAGCTCCCATTATCGATGGTAGCGCAGGTAGGTCACTTCCTCGATTTTTAGTTCGTGCAGCCACCGCCTGGTGCCGTCGGTATTTGGAAAAGGTCCATTGTGTTTTCCCGTGGCGAGGAAGAAAGACAGACGTTTGCAGTCCATTGACGCTTTCGTCACATCCTCTCACCTCCTATTGCAGAGGGGATCCATAAGCCACGTGACCCCGATCAAAACTTCATGTAATACAAACTCTCGACCGCATGAATGGATGCATGAGGCTGAACCATTTGAATCGGGCGGCGGTTTGCGCCACCTATCTAGTGTTACATTTTTTAAAAACAATTTATTTAACATAGTGTTATATATGTAGATATTCATTCTTAAATTTATATACGATCCGTACGACGGAGGCGCCTCTATGCAACCGGGTGCCCGCACCTTCCGCCCAACGGATCGCCCGGAAGAGAATAGGAAAATACTCATCCATCCCTCGACCTATGACACCAGTCAGATAACATATTCTTGGTTATCTCCATGCACCTTCCCCATGTCTTTTTTTCTCTCGCTATCATGAATCCCAGTGCGCTTATTCAATTAGTTACCTCCTCACCTACTACAGGGTGAAGCCCCTTACAGTAATGTATCAAGTGCACAGTCATCTCCTCTTCTTCTCCATAAGTTCCACACACCGTATCTACTTCCTGATATCTAGCTCTATATGGCTTAGTCCGCAACACTCCCGTCCTCGCCTTGAACAACAGGGAGCTCCCCCTTGAAATCTCGAAGATCGGCTGCTTAGCAGTGTCCTTTTTAAACGATCTGTAAATTTACAAGGCCGATTTAGTCTGCGCGCCTGCTTTCCATATTTCTTTCTCAGTTTGTTTAACTCTCTTCTTAACCTTTATTTTCTCATCCGCCTCCCTGCTGTTGCCCATATATTTATATCTAAGTTTTCTAGTCCGCTTTCTTTATTTCGTATCAACGCTTCTCATGTGTAAATAGCTAAAAACTCTTCGTGCCCATCGTTCTGCATCTATGTCTCTTAGCCTATCCTCAAATTCAATCTTACTGATAGCTTCCCCGCCCTCGAATGAGGACCATCCCATATCGTCCAGTACGACTTTGTCCGGTGTTTTACCATGTGCTCTAAGAGTCGATCTACCTGCTCCTTGTCGCTTTATTTCTTGCCTTGCCTGGACGTCCAGTTTTAGGCACAAAACTGCGTTTGCAAAAGTCAGGCTCGGAACCATAACTCCTTTCCAGATCTCCTTCACCACCTGATACCTGTTATAGTTCCACAGTGCTCTATTTTTCATTACAGCTGTATTTCTGTTGCCCTTTCGAGTTACACATTTTGCATGTTGATAGAGGTATTCTATTCCCTCGTTAATCCATACTCCTAGATACTTGTATCTATCGACTCGCTCAACCTCTCATCCTTGCAACAAAATGTTTAGCTGGGCTCGTTGGTTTATGACTGGAAATGAGCGTCAAAGGAACGGGGACAGGTGAAGTGGACGACAACACGGGGCGCACTCGCAACAGAAAGTTTATTAGAAAACACACATGCTTAAATACCTCAAAATAAACCTTGTCACTGCCAGCGTTCCCCTTCTTTTTCTAAATATAGAAGTTCTTTATCTGATAAGGCCACTGACGGCTCGCTGATACAGATATCAGCCCTTCTTGTTTTGATGATGAATGCTTCGTGAATCTCTCTGTTTTTTTTTTTTTTTTTTTTTTTTGCTGTGTCGCCTCAGGATGATTGTGTTTGACAACTTCGGGGTGCTAATCCTTAAATTGTTAGCTCTGCAATTCCCTCATTATTGAACACCATGACCGGTGATATGTCACTACTGAACTCTAAGCCCAAAAGTGTGACCCTTCTGCGCCACAAATATGCATTAAGGGGAAGCTGGAACTCTTTTAACAAAATTAAAGACGTTTACAACTCCCTGTAACGCCCAATTAGAGCGCAGCTCTTGAGGAGCAGGAAAGGAGGGTACGGAGAGGAGGATAAGCCCCTCCTCCCCCTCTGTACCCTTTCCTCCTTTCTCATCCTCTCCTCCTCCTCCCCTCCCCCTTGTGACGTCACTCGTTACCCTCGTGACCTTCACTGTGAAGGTCGTGACCTTCGTCGTGACCTTGACGAGTAACATTCGTGACGTCACTTACAACCTTCGTGACTGTCGTGACGTCACTTACAACCTTCGTGACTGTCGTGACGTCACGTGACCCTCGTGACGTCACGCGTGACGTCATTATGGAAAACGTTCCATGATTTAAAACGCGGTACCCTCGTGATGTCACACGTGACGTCACGTGTGACGTCATTATTGGAAACGTTTTATAATACGACGCGCGGGTCACGAGTGAGACCCGCTCGTTGCATTATGGAACATTTCCCATAATGCAATGCGCGGTTACGCCGACGGCGACGCCGCTCAAGCCGGAAACGGGCGCTTCAGAGCTGCGTTCTAAAACAAGATAGAGGTGAACTCTGGCGTATTTTCATCTCGTGAATATGAATATCACGTTCCCTTTCCCCGAAGGTGTAACTAAACTCGGGAAAACACGAAATACCTCCGAGCAGTCGTGACGTCATACGAGGATGTTTGGCCCGCCAAGCGCGTGTCGCTCGTGTGGGAAGCGCATGCAATGGCAAGCTTGCCAGGTATATTCCGAGGACTGACACCTGTCATGACTCTCTTTCTGACCGTTTCGAAAATGGTAAGTGTGCGCGTGCACTCTTGCTGTCTTGAGAGGCGCTGACTCTGACAGGCGCTGAAGATGCGCGAGAGTAGAGATTTCGAAAACTCTTGATATGACGTTACGCCCCGGGAAGGAGGAGCTTCAGCGGTACTTCAAAAATTAATTTATGCAGCCTCCGTGCACCAAATTGAAATATAATCTTGAAATTCGTGATCCGGGAGGTCAAATGAAGACGGTTTGGGTGTTTTACTCAAATACAGAACCGGTTCAGTTTCCCTTTAAGGACTGAAGCTGTATGTTGCCATTGTCCATTAGCACTGTCATCAGCATACATCAAACCTGGTAATGCCTTTTTGATCTTTTCACCTTGCTTATTGTCCATAAGCCAGAAGAAAGCAAAAATACCGCAGCATACAGAGGTAACAAGAAATATTTATTTTTGGCAGTGCTTTTGCGTTCCCGTGCTCTCTAGCAATACTTTGGCAGCGTGTGATATATTTCGAAACATTCTCCGGAGACCGGAGCTTTTTGTGCAAGTCTTGCAGTAGAAAACTCTTCCTCTCCTGCCTCGTTTCGTCTTTCGATCGCTGCACACTGCGCAGTCTTTGCTGGTACGTTCTTGTAGCTTGTATACGAAGTGCTGCCTTCCATCTAATCTCTCCTCAGTGTCAGATTGTGATGCCCGTCCTCTTTTTTGGGGTCGCACTCGCAGGTCCCCAACCAGCTGTTCGATCAGCTTACGGCGGTACCGGAGGTACCTTTGCCCCTTCAGTGCCTGAGCAACCTGTT